ATGGACTAAAATTGACACCCTATGTCTCCATCAGCACCCTAGCAGGATAAAGAAAGCACAGTGAGGATAATTGAGGTGAACTTCATAAAAACGATGATTGGGAAAGGTGTGTGCAAGAGTAGGAATAGCGTTAAGACCACCACCCTTCTGTCATTTTTATCTCACAGTAGTGACTTGCTTGTTGCTATGGTGCTAAAAAGCTATGTTCCTGCTATTACAAATACCAGCAGGGTCATCTTAGCGTTGGAAGATGAGCTCCCTAGGATGGAAGGCATGCACAATACACAGTGGCTGTACCAATGGACTCAAACATATCAACGATAGTGAAGATGGCAGGACGTGGCAACACTTTGTGCTATTGTCTAAGAGTCAGAGCCATCTTGACTGTAACTAGTAACAAAAGCAAAGCTTAGGGAAACCAAGGGGGCAATGCAGTACCTTACGCCTGACGCCACTAGAGAAGGGAGCAGGCACTAGAACCCCAGCTAGATAGTGAGACTGTCCAACAGGAACTGGTGAGGGATGTAGCCAGCCCTCTCTCATCTCCTGATAGAATTCTAGTCAAAGGATGGATACCCGGGGCCTTGTGAATTACAACAATCTATCCTCAAGTCAAATTTAATCCCATTGGGTCACACCGCCTGCACCTACATCATTTCATGGGATCTTGCCAACAAGTCAGCAAGACCAAGATCATTTCCTCCATTTTAAAAGGAAGGAATTGAGGCCTGGATAGCTGATAGAAAGCCCACAGTCAAATCACTAGTAGCTGGCTGAGCTGAGGTTCAAATACTGGCCCATCTGATTCCAGAGCCTTTCTTTGCCACTCAAATAAACTGGCTCAAAACCATTTTGGCAGAGTCTGAAAGGACCACCAATCAGGCTGCGGGGTGGGAGGCAAGGATGTTCTGTGTGGGAGATGAGTGCAGGTATGGCTCTGGGCTTCTACTCTCAGGCCCCAAGGTCCCTCAGGGAGCCTCTGTCTTCTCTAAACTAGGGAAGGGCTGGCAGTCTGAATGCAGTAAGCACCCACCCCAGCATCTCAGAGGGAGAAGATGCAGAGAAAACACTTGGCTGATGATGGGGGGAAATGTATTTTCATTCAGACGCCTTGCAAGTTCTTTTTTTTTTTTTTTTTTTGCCAGCTGAGTGTTTGATGTATTTATAGGAATCAGGGGGAGGGCTTAAGGGTAACCGGCAGTGGAGCTGCATTTTGGGCCATCAGGAAGCTCAATCCTGCAGGAAAATGTTGATGGAAAGGGACAAAAAAAGGCAGAGACCAGCAGGGTACAAACTGGCTTTCCCCTTCATGTTATCAAGACCTTTTCTCTCTCCAGGGTTGGTGACGTCAAAGCAAGGACTATAAATGTGCTAAAGATAGAATGAGAGAGTCAAAATGATGTGCAAATGGATAAACAAAATGTGGTCTGTCTGTACAATGGAACATTGCTTCTCCATAAAAAGAAATGAAGTCCTGATACTTGTTACTTGTTGCATGGATGAACCTTGAAGACATGATGTTAAGGGAACAAAGCCAGATACAAAAAGGCTACATAGTATATAATCTCATTTATATGGAATACCCAGGGTGGGCAAATCCATAACAACCGAAAGTTGAACAGTGGTTGCCAAAGCCGGAGGGGATGGGAATGAACTGTTTGATGGGTACAGGGTTTTCTTCGGCATGGGATAGGAGATAGAAACATTTTTAAACTAGATAGAAGTGGTGAGTGCAAAACCCTGTGCATGTACAAAAATACCACTGAATTAATTGTTCATTTGAAAATGGTTACTTTTATGTTATGGAAATAAACAACAACAAAAAAAGGTGAGTAGGCAGAGCTATAGAAGGTCAATTGGTCTACCCCAAGGTCTTTCAAGCTGTTCTTGCTCTGTGCAGCTGATGTCCTGGGTGCTGGAAGGCTTGAGGCCCGATGTAATTCCACTCTGCCCTTCTCTCTCTGCTCCCTCACAACTGGCTTCTTATATGTTGTTCAAATATATCAAACTTAGTCCAGCCTCAAGGCCTCTGCACTTGGCTGTTTCTTCTGCCGGGGTGTTCTTTCCCCCAGATTGTCACAGGTTGAGTGCTCCTCTAGACTCAGATCTCAGCTCAAATCCCCCTTCCACTGGAAGGCCTTTCCCCAATCTTATTTAAAGCAGCCAAACCCGCAGTCATTTTCCACCTCTGTGTTGGTCATGCCCTATTTAGTGTGTAGTGGATTCCGTTCATGGGTCTTGATTAACATTTTTTAAATGGAATGCAGTAGAATACAAAAGAACACACAGAATAAAGGTCAATATTTCTGCTTCAGAAATAGTTTCTGCATAACCAACTACCTCAATTAATTGGCTTCAAACCGCAAGTCCACCTCTGCCCTCCCCCTTGCCCCCCAATGCTATGGGCTAACTGGGCTCAGCTGGGCAGTTCTTCTCGACATGGTATCTGCTAGGCTCACTCATATAACTGTATTCCTCTGGGAGTTGGACTAGGGCTGGGACATCCAAGACTGGCTCACTCCTATCTGGGGCCTTGGTGCTAGCTGTCATTGCTCCTCCATGTGAAATCACGCTCTGTCTCTCTAGATTCTGTGGTCTTTCATCATTCAGTGCTCTGGTATGAGCTTTCTTACATGGCAGTTTACAAAAAAAGAGCACATAAACAAAGAAACTAAACGACCTGTTGAGGCCTACACCACGGTTCTATTGGTTCATTACATCCTATTGGCCAAAGCAAATAACAAAACCAATCAGATTCAAGGGTAGGAAAACAAACCCAACCTCTGTAACAAAACCAGATCAGATTCAAGGACAGGGGAACAGACCCCACCTCTGGAAGGGATAACAGTCTGAGCAAGCCAAGATTAGGTGAAATCCTTGGCGGCCACTTTTGCAAGCAATCCAACCACAATGTTTATGAAAATTTTGCTTCAGTTTAATTGCATGATCTTCTGTGAATTGAGTCACAAGAGAAACATATGAGAGGGGTTCCAAAAGTGCATGGAAAAAATTCCAATATCTTTTCATTCCATGTCCATGAACTTTTTTGAAGTCTCCTTCTATTTCTTACTGTGAGTTGTGATCATAAAGTTTAAAAAGCATACTTCTTCTACATTCCTTTAAAATTTTTCCTTTCATAGTGCTTGGTACACTCTAAACTTATGTAATTAACCTGGTGTGACACTGAAGAATAAGCACTGGATTGCTAACAGGAAGATCAGCGATTCAAGTGCACCAGCCACACTTCAGAAACCCTATATGGGGTCGCTACGAGTGGGAACTGATTCAACGGCACTTAACGACAACAAACTGACTTTACTATATCTAAATATACATACATATATATCCATTAGAATATAAGAATATATATATTTGTTATATCCATTAGACTATAAGCCTCCATGAGGGCATGGGCCTTGTCTGTCTTCTTCACATTTACATTCTCAGCAACTAGTAGTGCCTGGCACTTAAAAAAAGACGACAACACAGTTTCTGTTGAGCCAACTCTGGCTCATGGCTACTCCATGTGGATCCTACTTTGTAGGATCTCCAATGGCTGAATTTTCAGGAATAGATCACCAGGCCTTTCTTCGGAGGGGCCTCTGGGTAAACCCGAACCACCACCCTTTCAGTTAGGAACAGCCTAGAGCACAAACCATTTGTACCACCCAGGGATTCCTGTTCCTTAATAGTTGTTGTTGTTGTTAAGGGCTGTCAAGTCAGTTCCGATTCCCAGCCACCCTGCATAGTGTTTCTAAGGAGAGTTGGTGAGTTAGAACCGATGACCTGTGGTTCAAACCAACCTTGCAGTCTAGTGTTTTTCCTACAGTGTCACACCAGGACCACATAGTATATACCTATTATTGTTGAAATACGTAGTATCAGCTATCATTCATTGGTTGCTGAGCACTTTAAACATTATCTCATTAATTCATTGAACACATATTGGAGCACCATCTGTTGCAGAGGACTGTCTACAGAAAATAGCACCTCTGGTAAGCACTGAATTTGTACCCCTTTTCAAGCATCTGACAGCCATCTTTTAGAGAACTTTACCATAATATCAGGCTAAAGTCACAAGACAAGTTCATTAATCTTTTACTTAACAAGTTATGGTCCCCAAATCCATTGTTGTAGAGTTGACTCCCACTCATAATAACTATGGAACGAAGTAGAATTGCTCCATAGGGTTTCAAGGGCTGTAAATCTTTACGGAAGCCAATTGCTTCATCTTTCTCTTCCAGAGTGGCTAGTGGGTTCAAATCAACAACCTTTCAGTTAGCAGCCCAACACTTAACCCGCTGTGTTACCAGGGCTCCTTCAACACATTATGAGACAACAGGAAAACGACAGCTGCCCCTCCCTTGCTTTCACTGATGGTAATTCGTCTCTGATGGGCTCTGAGTCATTGTGTTCCATTTCTTCCCTTTCTGCACTCAGCAGAGCAACATCACACAGTCAGCCTTGGCCCACAGAGGCTCTCAAACACGAAAGCATTCACTGTAGCTTGCTTAATGAGCTCTCACAGCTGGTGATGGAAACTGCAATGTTCATAGAAACTGCTCAGTAGCGCCCCCTACACAAGCCACACCGCTGTAGCTGAAATCCGACACTTCACTGTGTGTCAGACCCTATTCTAGGCACCAGTGAAAGGACAATGAACAACACAGACAAAAATTCTTGCCCTCCTGGAGTTTACATCATGCTATCAGGTAGATGCTATTTTGACAGATGAGGAAACGGAGCCAGAGATCAGGTTACTTGCTTAAGGTCACACAGCTAATAATTTCACCCGGGGTCCTGGCTCTTCTCCACTATGCTGTGGATGTTGGGTTTGGTCCAGTGATGGATTGAGGTGGATGGAGATTGCAATGCCTGCCATTGTTGCAATCATAGATCAACACTGTTCTTCTGGGGATGGGACCCAGGGCAGTGGGAAGAGGTGCCCTGAGGAGCCCGCCTCCCCCTGTATCCCCCAACTCAGTGACGAAGGCTCACACCTGGGGTGTTGCAGATTTGAGCCACAGGTCTCAGTTGCCCCCACTGTTTTATCGGCATGTGACATCCCCAAGTGGCTGGGGCCTGGAGGCCTGGCAGAGACTGTAGCCCGACAAAAATAAACCTGCCACATTCCTTGGCAGCCCCCTGCCCCTTCCCGCTCTTCATCCATCCATCCATCCGTGCTGCAGAGCCTGCCAGGGAAGGCAGAGAGAGAGAGAGAGAGGCAAGCAAGAAAGCAGGAGAAGGGCAGAGAGGAAGAAAGAGAGAGATCACCTTATATGGGAACATGCGCAGACAATGTGTGGCAATGGCTTAGGGGGCAGCGGAGGTCAGATACCAGACAGATGGAAGAAATTAAACATGGGACAGAGTGTGTTCTGGGCCTGGAAACAGCCCTTGTTCCACAGCAAGTTCGTACAAAGTTTGGCCGCTTTCCTTTTTTGCAGAAGACGTGAATCTAAACTCTGCAGGACTTTGACTCAAGCCCCTGGCCCCAAGCTTGGTCTAAATCCTTTAAAGTCATTTCCGTGACAAAAAAGAGAAAGTCCTGTTTGCAAATGGAAAGGAGGAAAAACACAAGACTGATTTTCCAAGACCTCTCAATTTGTCTCCAAATCATATAAATTAGTGGTTAATGAGTAAATAATCCTTCATTTCTCATTCGTTCAGTCAACAAATATTGAGGGCCAATTATGTCCCAGGCACTGAGCCAGGGGCTGGGGAGACAGTGTTGATAATAATAATAGTTACCGTTTTTTGATTTATACTCGGTTAATAAATATTTCAATTCATAACAATTCACTTAGTGCCACCCACATTCCAGTCATTGGTGATCTACTGATGTAGTATCATCTGGTCCCTGTCCTGTATCACTTACAAGGGGGCTAGAAGGAGGTGGGAATGTTGGATATTGAACAAATGATCCCAGGGGGTCTTCACAACAGCATAAGCTAGTTACCATTTACTATCTTTGTTTTCCACAGGGTTTCTCACCTTGGTGTTACGGACACGTTGGACCAGATAATCCTTTGTTGTGGGGACACTCTTTGTATTGTAGAATATTTCACAGCATCTCTGTCTTCAACTCAGTAGATGCCAATAGCAACAACTCCTCTCTCTACAATCATGGCAACTGAAAATGTCTCCAGACTTGGCCAAATGTTCCCTAGGGGACAAAATCACCCCCAGTTCAAAACAAGTGATTGAACAGATTAAGAAGCTTCCTGAAGGTCTTATCACTGACCAAGGATGAATTACCCAACAAGCAAGTTACACACAGGTTTCAGTGTGATTACTCAGCAATCGGTAGTGCACTAGTTCACCCGGTGAAATTGTTGTTGTTGTTAGGTGCCATCGAGTCGGTACCGACTCATAGCGACCTTATGCACAGAAGAATGAAACATTGCCCAATCCTGGGCCAACCTCACTATCGTTGTCACGCTTGAGCCCATCGGTGCTGCCACTTTGCCAATCCATCTCGCTGGGGGTCTTCCTCTTTTTCTCTGACCCTCCACCTCACCAACATGATATCGTTCTCCAGCGACTGGTCCCTTCTGACAATATGTCCAAAGTATGAGAGACGAAGTCTGGCCATCCTGGCCTCCAAAGAGCACTCTGGCTGCACTTCCTCCAACACACATCTATTGGTTCTTTTGGCAGCCCATGGCACTTTCAATATTCTCCTCCAACACTTTAACTCAAAAGCATCAGTTCTTCTACAGTCTTCCTTATTCACTGTACAGCTTTCGCTTGCATATGAGTTTACTGAAAATACCATGGCTTAGGTCAGGCGCACCTTAGTCTTCAAGCTGACATCTTTGCTCTTCAACACTTTAAAAAGGTCTTGTGCAGCAGATGTGCCTAATGCAATACGTCATCTGATTTCTTGCTTCCATGAGTGTTGATAGTTAACCCAAGGAGAATGAAGTAAATTATGCACTGCCAACTAGTAAATAAGCACTATGAAGCCCATGCATACTTCGCTTACTATAAGTCCGTGCATACCATGCTTACCAGATCATCTGTCCCTGCCCCTGTCCAGTACGATTTACACCCTGGTCTAGCTGATTTTAAAGCCCAAGAGCCTAACTCTAACAACTATAATGCCAAAACCCTGTTTCTCTGACAACAGGTGATTGCAAATCCTGGTGGTTATAGATTTCACCATCTCATTCCACAATGAGAGTTATCTGGGTTGGTGCAGATCTTCTGAGAAGCTGCTGCTAAGATGGGCCCAGCTACAGGAGACGTGTATTGATGCCTTGCCTGTGCTGTGCAGGAAGGGAAGGGAGCTGGAGGCCTGGCACCCGTGGGAGGAGACAGGGAAGCAGAGACCAGGCAGGAAGAGCCTCAAGAGACTGCAGTTTTAAGAAACTTCCACCAGCCTTACTTCCCAGGTCAAAATCACCTGTACAGATGCTCCCCAACCACACAGGAGGGGCCTCCATGAGGACAGATGACTTCACCATGAAGTCGGTGGATCCAGAGGGACAGCAGCCATGTTCTCCACAGCAATCTTGCTGGAGGTGGTCTGAGCAGTCATCCTTCAATTGTTACATCATTGCAGAAGTGCTGTCTGGTAGTTGTGTTCCCCTAAAACAAGGAGGTTAAAAGGTCCCAGGGATGGACGCAACAGGGAACAAAGCCAGGTTGGCATCCTTTCATGAAAAGGGCTCATCTTGCTTACAGTGTCGTGAGCTCCTTAGTGATCTGCAACATTTTGGGTACTGCTAACAGGAAGCAAAGAGTGTAGCTGTGAGTGGCTGTTTTAGCTGGTGGCATTCTCTGAGTGTCGGTTTCCCCACCTGCACAATGGGGTTCGTCCACTCTATCTCATGTGAACATCAAATGACTCAACAGATCTCTCTTTTTAGAAGTAGATGACACTCCCTCTGTGCAAACTCTCTGGAATTGGGGATAGGTGCATCATTTGACTGTCCCTCTAGAATTATTATGGAATGAAAATGATCTCAGTTCCACATGGAGCTACTATCACTGCTGTGCAAGTGTAGACACTCAGACAGAAAAAGGGGCTCAATTCCTTTTGCAAAACACAAAGCAATTTTTAACTAGGACTCCCCACACCTCATTACATCCATTAAAGCTGCCCCCAAATGCTAAGATCTGTAGTTGTTAAGCTAACATTCCAGAAAGTCCTCCAAACAGCCTTTAGAATGGAGCAGATAAAGAAAATGCTAAGCCAGTTTGCATACGCTCTAGAAGTCTCAGTGTACTCATCTGTGAACTGGGGAGAATAAGATGAACATTCTCTGATATTGATGATATGAAAGTAATTCACAAACCAGAAGGCAAGTAACTGATTATTGATGCTAAGCAACCAAGAACTAGAGTAAATGATGTGATCCCAGCACTCAGAGGGTCTAAATTTAGGATGCGGTGCAGCTAAAATTACATCAGTTGCCTATGTGAAGCCGTCTTACATTTCTTAGGATTCTGAGCCTGTTTGTAGACTGGGGCAAGCCTTTGTTCTGACTAATCACTGACCAGAAAATAAGGCTCTCTGAAAAAGAGACATGAACCACTATTTCCTTATCCAGCATTGAGCAACAACAACACAGCAAATGTTGGTGCACTACTGCTCTCTGCTGGTCAGCTATGGTGCCACAGATGGTTATAACAACTTTGGAGAGGGGACTTCTGGGAAACAGGAGCTCCTGAAGGGAAGGGGTTTCCTCAAGGGCACGGTGAACAGAGCTGAGTTTTGAATTTGGGACTCCTGACTTCAATCATTCCAGGTGGAGAAAAATGAGGGCTGGCAGCTCACCTTGTTGGAGCTCATTCAGCTCTCAGAGATTTTTCTAAACTCAGGTTGGGATTTTTCTCTCCTGCTAAACTGCCTGCTTGACCTTCCCCACCAGGAAACGAAAGTTCAGAGAAGTTAAGGGGCTTGCTCAATCCCTGTACAGCCTCTACAGCACTAAGATCAGAAGAACTAGATGGTGCCTACCTACCATTACCAACCAACTGCTCTGATTGGGATCACAAGATAAGGTCTTGTAGAAAGTGTGAGAAAATGTAAAACAAAACTCAAAATCTTAACAACAACAACAACAACAACAACAAATCAGGTTTATGGGAGCGTGGTGCTCCATGCAATAAACACTCTGGTAGCTTAGTGGTTATAAATTGGGCTGCGAACCTCAAGGTCAGCAGTTTGAAACTATCAGTTGTTCTGTGTGAGAAAGATGAGGCTTTCTGCTCCTGTAAAGATTTACAGCCTTGGAAACCCTGTACAGTGTCACTATGAGTCGGAAACAACTCCATGGCACATAACCAACCAACTGTAAACATTTAAAAAGCCTTGGAAACCCTGTCACTATGAGTCAGAACCAACTTGAAGGGAAGGCACTTAATAACAACAAAAACTAGTCTTATAGAGACAGGTGGGACCCCCAAGACTATGGGCCTTAGACACCCTTCAAGTCTAGAACAAACTCACCTCCGTGGTTTAACTTTCAGTCAAACAATAGAGATTCCTATAAAGTGAACAGTAACACTAGGGAGGTACACAGTCCTTAGAACAAGGACAGCATTTACCCAGGGATAAGGAGCTCTGGTAGTGTAGTGGTTATGAATTGGGCTGCGGACCACAAGGTCAGCAGTTAGAAACTACCAGCTGTTCCGCGGGAGAAAGATGAGGCTTTCTGCTCCCATAAAGATTTACAGCCTCAGAAACCCTGTACAGGGTTGCTATGAGTCAGAACCGACTCCACGGCACATCACAACAACAACAACAAAGCTTAGAAGGCAGAAAGGGGTAGGAAAAAAGGACAGGGATGAAGTGGGAAGAACGCTGTTATAATATGGAAATTGCAATCAATGCCATGAAATAAAATGTGTAGGAGTTGTTGAATAGAAAACTAATTTACTCTATAAACTTTTGCCCAAATCATAATGAAAAGTTAAAAAAAAAAAAAGATCTGGTCAAAGTTCAACAGATATTAAGTATAAAGTAGGATGTGAATGTTTATCTGACAGCCCTGAGTCCATCTACTGCTAACATAACAAAGTAAAATATCATGGCAACTTATGTTGAAGATATGATTACAAGCAATCTTCTCTTCTTTGAATGCCCAAAATGGGGCAGGAAAGATTATTTAGTGCCAAACCACAAGCTGGTGATATTTGCATACGTTTATCTTTGTTAACTTCCAATCAACATATGTCATAGCAACCCTGTATAGGGTTTCCAAGGAGTGGCTGATGAGTATGAACCACAGACCTTGCAGTTCAAACTGACCTTGATGTCTACTGCTTATCCTACAACACCATGCCAGACTCCAACATACATATCATCTTAAATTTTGTCCACAATATTAAGGCACAGATGAGGAAACTGAGTTCAAAGAGGTTTGGAAATTGGCCCAGGGTCATTCAGTAACAGCTGGAATTGAGACTTCAATTCTCTGCTTGCTGTTAGTAACTAAATGAGTTAGTTTTTAAAGCATGAATAAGAAAACATATAGGGTAGCCTAGCCAGCTGGACCTCTGTTCTTGACATGGTCTCTAAATTCAGGTGGAATATATTTAAGGTCATATTTTGGATCTCATAGACTTGTTTTAATTTTTGTCTGCTTCAGTCTGAACTTGCATATGAGCAACTGATTGTCTGTTTCACAATCACCTCCTGGCCTTATTTAGGGTGATCATACTGACCTTTTCTATCATCTTGGTCCACAGATGTAGTCATTTGGGTTCCTGTGTATTCCATTTGGTGAGATCCACATGTATAGTTGCTGTTTATATTGCTTTGAAAAGGTATTTTCGATGAATAAGTCATTGGTCTTACAGAATTCTGTCATGGAATCTCCAATACTTTTTCAGATACTGAAGTCATATTTTTCAACTACAGATCCTTCTTCTTTGCTTCCAGCTTTTGCTTTCCAGTAATTATTAATACATCTTGAGTGCATGTTTGATCAATTTCATACTGAATTTGGTAGAATTCTTCAATTTCAAAATCACTGGTCTTAGTGGTTGGTGAGTAAATTTGAATAGTAGTGGTATTAATTTGTGTTCCTTATGGATGTATGGATTGTATCCTATCACAGACAGCATTGTACACCAAGATAGATCTTGAAACGTTTTTGTTGATAATGAATGCTACACCCTTCCTCTCTAAATTTTCATTCCCAGTATAGCAAACCATGTGAATGTCAGATTCAAAATGGCCAATGCCAACCCATTTCAGATCACTAAAGTGTAGGATATTAATCTTGATGAATTCCATTTCATTTTTGACAACTTATAATTTTACTAGATTCATACTTCATACAGTCTATGTTCTGATTACTAGTGGATGTTTGCAGTTGTTTATTCTCATTTTGAGTTGTGCCCCATCAGCAAATAAAGGTTGAAAAAACTTTGCTCCATTCATTTCATTATGGTCAACTCTACTTTGAGGAGTTAACTCTTTTCCAATCTTATTTTGTGTGCCTAAAAACCTGAAGGACTAATCTTCGGGCAATATATTGATGTTCCACTGCTACTTATTAAAGTGTGTTTTCCCTTCTTCCTAGTCTGTCTTATTCTGAAAGCTCTGCTGAAATTTGTCCACCATGGGTGACCTTCCTGGGGTTTACAATATTGGTGGCATAGCTTCCAGTATCAGCAACACACAGCCACTATAGTACAACAAACCGACAGATGAATGGTGGGTTGTTGAGAATATACACAGCAAAACATACAGTAATTCAACAGTTTCCCCATGTATCATTTAGCGACAGTGACTGCTGTCTTTAAATTGTGCGACCCTTCTCACCATCCTCCTTCTCTGAGTTGCTTCTCCTGCAATGTCATAAATTGATTGCTAATCTTCCAAGTTGCTAGATGATCCCATATAGCTAGTTCTTAAGATAACATATTGCTCAAGGTGGACATTTTTTACTAAGTTAAACTACTGCTTGATTTTAAGATGATTTCACAGCCTAATGATGTTTTTCTTTCCCATTTGCAGACAGGAACACAGAGTTACAGGCATGTGAACGTGGTCTTCCTCAGAGCCTTTGTACCTAACCTTCCCGCTACCTAGAATGCTGTTCCCACACATTCCTGCGGCGCTTCACCTTCTTCAGTTCTTCACTTACAATCACTTTCCTCAGGGAGTTTAAAAGTTCTACTCGCACAGATGTCTTATTCTTTTTACTTGCTTGATATCCCCTCTTAGGACATGTTGGTGTTAAGTGCCTTCAAGCTAGTTCTGACTCATAATGACCCTGTGTAGTGTTTCTGAGGAGTGATGGGTGGTTTGAACAGCTGACATTGTGTTTAGCAGTCCAGTGCCTATCCTGCAGGGCCCCTTTTAGGACATGGACACCTCATATACTATGTATCTCACTTCCCTGTCCATTGTTTAGCCCAATCCTTTAGCATGTAAGCTCCCCGACTACAAAGATTTGGGTTTATTTTGTTAGCTTACTCATCTTAGAAAAGACAAATACTCTTTAAATATTTACTTAAGAAATGAATTGGTAAAAAATGTAGCCATGAGGCAAGGGACTCCACAGTCTCCAACTCTAACCT